GCGTGTTGATCCAACAGAAAGTCTATAGAGCTGTGACCGGTCTCTATTTAGACTCTGAGGATGCTACCAAGCGCATTGAAATGAATGAAACTGCTTGTTCCTCTATTTACCTAAACCTTTCTGATTCAGTGCTCAGGAAGGTGGGTATCATAGATTCTGCAAAAGAGTTGTGGGACAAGTTAGATAAGTTGTATACCGATACTTCTTTGTCTGGTAAATTGTTTTTGCTTGAGAAGTTCTTTAGGTTTAGGCTTGACCTGACTAAGGACATAGATGAGAACCTAGATGTGTTTAACAAGCTTATTCAGAACATCAAGCAAGCCGGCGATAAACACATAGATGACTACACACCCATAGTGTTGCTTAATGCCATCCCTGATTCTTACAATGACGTCAAATCTGCCATAAAGTATGATAGAGACGATATCACGCTAGATATAGTCGTTGATGGATAAGAAGTAAGGAGTTAGACCTTAGACACTCGAGGGGTAGTAACAGTCAATCTAGGGACTCTGGTGAAGCGTTGCTTGTGAGGGGTAGGTCTAAGAGTAGATCTAGAAACCATAAGAAGGGTAGCAACAATAAGAACCAGACTAATAACAATGACCCGGGGAAGAAGAGAGGTAAGTCTAAGAAGAGAGTGTGCTATAATTGTGGTAATTCTAGTCACTTTATTAAGGATTGTCCCCATCCTAAGAAGTCTGAACATGCTAATGTGGTAGATGATAATAACTTGCATGAAGAAGTTTTTATGGTCTGTGATTTTGCAAATTCTGTGTTGAGTAGCATGACTGAAAATGAGTGGTTAATTGACTCTGGTTGTACATATCATATGACAACTTTTAGATCTCTGTTTGCTTCTTATGATTCTTGCAATGATGGTTTTGTGTCTCTTGCTGATAATAAGAAATGAAAAATACATGGGGTGGGTGATGCATGCTTGAAGTTTGATAATGGGACTGTGTTTACTATGAAAAATGTGAGGCATATCCCTGATTTGCGTCATAACTTGTTTTCTGTCGCTGTTTTTGAGGGTAGTGGGCTTGAGGTGAGGGTAAATGGGGAAATGGGTGCATGAAAGTTTTGAAAAATTCCCTTGTTTTGTTTAAGGCAAAAAAGGTGAATAATTTGTATGTGTGCCATGCTCAGCCTTTCTGTGATTCTGCTCATGTTGTTAGTTCTGATAAAACTGCTTTGTGGCATAATAGATTAGGACACATGAGTAATAAGGGTTTAGAGATTTTGCATAAATCTGGTTGTTTTGGTAAGGATTCTGTGTCCTCCATCCCTTTCTGTGAATCTTGTGTGTTAGGCAAGCAACATAAGGTTACTTTCCCCTCTTCCCCTTATCCTAATCCCACTAAGTGTACCTCTGTGTTAGAGTATGTTCATGCAGATGTGTGGGGTCCTGCTAGTGTCTCTACCCATGGTTAGGAGTATGCTTGCTACCTCCGGTTTGTCTAAAAAGTTTTGGGGTGAAGCAGTCAATACTGCTGTCTACTTGATTAACCGGTCTCCTTCTGTTCCCTTAGGTGGGAAATGTCCTGAATTTGTTTTTTCAAACAAGCCCCTTGATTTGTCTAATCTTAGAGTGTTTGGGTGTGCTGCGTATGTGCACCAACAAGGTGACAAATTGGATCCTAGGTCTAAGAAAGGAGTCTTCTTAGGTTATCCTGAAGGGTGTGAAATTTAAAAATAAAGGAGAGTTAGTGCTCGAAAAACATATAAAGCCTTGAGCTCCTCCTCCTAACAGGTTGACCTTTTAGTATGGAACCCCAAGTCTTAATATATTAAGCTTCCCCACACCAGTTGCGTATAGAAATACAAACCAACATATAAAGCCTTGGGCTACTCCTCCTAACAGGTTGACCTTTTAGGATGGAACCCCAAGTCTTAATATGGTATCAGAGCAAATTAAGCTTCAATGAGTAATTAGATCCTGGTAAGCCGCAACAACGAGCACACGGACTATAAGATTGGTCTGCTCTAACGAGCCACCATCTTGCGGGGGTGTATTAAGCTGTCCCACACCGATGCGTATAGAAATACAAACCAACATATAAAGCCTTGGGCTACTCCTCTTAACAGGTTGACCTTTTAGGATGGAACCCCAAGTCTTAATAAAGGATATATAAAAAAATCTTGTACGGAAATATAGGTAATACTTAAGATACATAGTTCTTCAGTTCTTAAAATATGAGAAGGACATATAAAAAATACAGTGATTTCAAAATCTTACCTCATGTGCTGGAAACAACCTCAATGCCATATCTGTAGTATTTTAGGATGTGCAGAGCATTGGTGGTAGCTTAGACCATCTCCAATGCATGGGGTGAATTGTGGTTGATGTGGCAAAAATCTAGACTTGGTCTATATAGTATGTGGGCAAAATATTTATAAATTGAGAGGGTCTATTGACCTATGACTCCAGCAGGAAAATAAAAAATCATTTGCGTTTTTCCCGGCAACACCCCGTCAGATCAAGTTTCGGCGACACCCACTTCCAAACATTGTCATTTAGTGAAAAAACAGTTTGTCATCATGTAAAGGATATTAAGCTGTCCCACTCTGGTTGCATATTGAAATACAAACCAACATATAAAGTCTTAGGTTACTCATTCTATCAGGTTGACCTTTTAGGATGGAATCTCAAGTCTTAATACGGTATGAGAGCAAATTAAGCTCCAATGAGTAATTAGATCCTCGTAAGCCTCAACAACGAGCACAAGGATTACAAGATTGGTCTGCTCCAATGACCCACCAAGTTGCGGGGGCGTATTAAGCTGTCCCACACCGGTGCGTATAGAAATACAAATCAATATATAAAGCCTTGTGCTACTCCTCTTGTACGGTAATATAGGTAATACTCAAGATACATAGTTCTCCAGTTTTTAAAATATGAGGAGGATATATAAAAAAATACAATGATCTCAAAATCTTAACTCATGTGCTGGAAACAATCTCAATGTCATATCCGTAGTATTTAAGGATGCGCAAAGTACTGGAATAGCTTAGAGCTTCTCTGATGCTTGGGGTGAATTGTGGTTGATGTGGCAAAAATCTAGACTTGGTCTATAATTATAGTATGTGGGCAAAACATTTATAAATTGAGAGGGTCTATTGACCTATAACTCCAGCATGAAATAAAAAACCATTTTCGTTTTTCCCGACAACACTGCGGCATATCAGGTTCCGACAACACCCACTTCCAGACATTGTCATTTAGTGAAAAAATAGTTTTCATCATGCGAAGGATAAAAAGCTGTCCCACACCGGTTGCGTATAGAAATACAAACCAACATATAAAGCCTTGGGTTACTTCTTCTAACAGGTTGACTTTTTAGGATGAAACCCAAGTCTTAATATGGTATCAGAGCAAATTAAGCTCCAACGAGTAATTAGATTCTAGTAAGCCTCAACAACGAGTACACGGACTACAAGATTGGTTTGCTCCAACGAGCCACCATTTTGCGGGGGCGTATTAAGCTGTCCCACACCGGTTGCGTATAGAAATACAATCCAACATATAAAGTCTTGGGCTACTCCTCCTAACAGGTTGACCTTTTAGGATGGAACTACAAGTCTTAATATATTAAGCTGTCCCACACCGGTTGCGTATAGAAATACAAACCAACATATAAAGCTTTGGGCTACTCCATCTAACAGGTTGACCTTTTAGGATGGAACCTCAAGTCTTAATATGGTATCAGAGCAAATTAAGCTCAAACGAGTAATTAGATCCTGATAAACATCTACAACGAGCACACGAACTACAAGATTGGTCTGCTCCAATGAGCCACCATCTTGCGGGGGGCGTATTAAGCTATCCCACACCGGTTGCGTATAGAAATACAAACCAACATATAAAGCCTTGGGCTACTCTTCTTAACAAGTTGACCTTTTAGGATGGAACCCCAAGTCTTAATAAAGGATATATAAAAAAAATCTTGTACGGTAATATAGGTAATACTCAGGATACATAGTTCTTCAGTTCTTAAAATATGAGAAGGATATATAAAAAAATACAATGTTCTCAAAATCTTACCTCATGTGCTGGAAACAACATCAACGCCATATCCGTGGTATTTTAGGATGCGCAAAGTATTGGTACTAGCTTAGAACATCTCCAATATTTGGGGTGAATTATGTTTGATGTGGCAAAAATCTAGACTTGGTTTATATTTTGAGAGGGTCTATTGACCTATGACTCCAATGCATGGAATGAAAAGGTATATGTAAAAAGGAAAAAGTATAAATAAAAGGAAAAATGGATTTAATAATCTCAACTATGCTCGGTCCGCTTTTAATAATCCCAATTATTACTCCCTCCGTCCCGGTGAGTTCTTCCTAAATTGACTTGGCTCGCAAATTTAGATAGTGGGAATAAAGTGGAAATGTATGGTTGTAGTTGTGTAAGAAAAATGTGAATGAATGTGAACCACATATTTTTTCAAAAGTGGAAGTTGGAAGAATTAATTGGGACGGTCTAAAAAGGAAAGTTGGAAGAAATGATCGGGACGGAGAGAGTAATTATTACTGGGTGGTCCAAACTTAGTTGAGCTTTTTCTACTAATGGTCCCAACCGGCTGGCAACCTAATCCTTCCGTTCTTACCCGGTAAAATCACGTGAGAAACACCTATTTATTTCCTACTAGTATTAATTAAAACGACGTTGTAAACAACCTTTTTGAATTCTTCTTCTCTTCCATTTATCATAATACACTACCCCCTTCCATAAACCTTTTTGCCCATCCAATCATCCATAGCTAAGAGACCAGATAGCAGGTTAATTAAAAATGGTTTCTACAAGTGGTTAATCTTCGTGGGGAAACATGTCCAAAACCAACGCTTCACGTGAACGAAGTGTTTAATGCTTCCATAAGGTGTATTCGAAGCCTAGATTTTGAATAACACATTATGAATAACATTGAATAACATATTATGAATAACAGAAACCATTGAAAACATAACCAAACTTCTTCTTATTCAAGCACAACGTAATTTCACCATACTGTTCAAAATATAGAACACTATTTCGTACATACAACACTCAAAAACAAAACATTATGTTCAGAAAAGTCAATAATAGATACTTCATAAATTCGTACAGATTACCAACATATCAATGGTCATCCAAGTGGTTCAGAATTACACAATAACTAGAACTAACAACACTTAAGAAACTACAGTACAACAACATAATGTTCATACAAGTGGTCGTGAACTACATAAATAAAATATTAGTCTTCCAAATCACACTGAATGAGTTGTAGGAGCTGCAGAGGTATAGGTACTTGTTTGTGATATATTCACTAGTCCTCCTTGCTGCTCGGGGCTGTAAAATCAACAAACATGTATCAATCACATACTATCCTACAATGATATTAACTGTTAGTAGTACTTAGTATATATACTTAAATGAATAAGACATAATTACAGTAAATTACAAGCAACAACGTGACAACATGAAACTCTGCTAGGGTCCCACTTTCTGCAAGTGCAACTCTTAGCCTCAAAATTGACTGTCAAAGTACCTAGCCTATGACACACCTGAAACAACACTTCACTAGAGGGTAGGAAGGTACAATTGGCTGCCTCATCTTTTGATTTTTCTAATCTTGCCTGGATTCTTGGACATAACAAACTTCCATTATTTTCCATACCCTGCCTCTTAACAACCATTGTTTGCATCAAAGCACCCCTAATATCTTGTAGCATAAATATTATATGCTTAGCTCTAGCATTTATAATGTACCCATTAAACGTTTCAGTCATGTTACTTACAATGACATCACACTTAGTGGTTGTTCTAATGTAGGTTCTCCAAAAACATTTGGGATTATACGCTTTAAAAGCAGTAACTGCAGCAGGACTGACTTTACCCATTTCATCCAATGCCTCCACAAAATCAGCTTCATTATAAGCCTTTTTTGCTTTCCAGAATATCATCTTTAATTCATCACCTTTATGTGTTTTGTGCCAATTGGCAAACACATGTCTCGCACAATGTCTGTGCTCTGCAAGAGAGAACACACAAGAAACTCCACGCAAAATGGACCGTAACAATCAAGAAACGACAAACTGCATTAATAAATAATTTAATATTCACGATGAAGTTAAAATGGAAATAGCTATTACCTGGTGCTCATCAGAAATGAACGTATAGTCTGCTCCTCCCGAATCACCCAATGTCTTTTTTAATTCACTTAGAAACCACTCCGAACTAGAATTATTTTCACCTTCAACAACTGGCCGCACCAATGGAAACATGTGATCATTGGAATCTCTTCCTACTGCAGATAATAACATCCCCCTAAAAAGGTCTTAATGAAGCAACCGTCCACACATAAAACCTTTCTACCTCCACTCAACCACCCTTCTGGGGGTGGGGGTGGGGGGTGGGGGAATGCCTTTGTGGATGGATCTGTGAGCAACTTAAAGTGGCTTTGAGGATTTGCTTGAATTAGAGATTCTATGTACCTTCCTACCTTGTTATAATGCTCCTTCATACTGCCATGAAACTTCATATGTGCATGATGTTTCACTTTGTATGCAAAGTCTCTCGAAACAAGTACTTTGTAATCTCTTCTTATGGTTTCTGTTATTTCTTGTGCAGGCCAGTGAGGCCTGGACTTGAAACCCTCCAACAATTGAACTGCAGCCCATGTTGCCTTTAGTTGTCTATTTTTTCATGTTTCTATTGCAGGTATGATTCCCCTTCACAGTCTTGACTACAAAAGAAGCCATCCTGCTATCCCAGCTAGCATACAACCGAAAAGGACACTCTTCCACACACTTTGCACCTATCCTTTGTTGCCTATTCTTAGAACTCACATTTATTTTCAAGTTCCTACCTTGAGCAATTGCAAACTTGGCCACTGCATCTTTAAATTTGTCCCTATTTTCAAATCTCATACCAACCTGCCACTTAAGTTTCTTGAAGTCAGTATACGCATCCATATGAAGAGCTTAAACTTTTCTCTTTGAGGACATTGTGCCATCATTTTCACTCTCGGAAGGTGTGAGCATGTCATGTTTAGAGTCTTCATAATCACTAAAAAACTCTTGCTGCCCGAGATCCTGCTCTTCTACAGGCTGTTTTTCTAACGGTGCCTTACGCCCAAGAAGAACATCAACTACTTCTTTTGTAGGTTCTTTGCTATTTCCTGGATCCAGGAATTCCATCCACTCACTTTTCTTCTAGACTCTATGAACTCTTCATCACTAGTATCATTATCAGATCCAACTAGAGGGACCTCCAAATCCCCAGCTTGCACATCAGTGTTATGATCACCATCTTGGTCATTGGATTCTGCTTCCACATGTTCATGTGATTCATCCTCTTCCGCATCTTCATCTATAACATCATGTTTTGATTCTTCCTCATAAAAGCCACTTGGAACTTCTGAGGTGTTTGTGTGAGGTGTGCCCACACCTTGACTCGGCCAGAACCTGCTGCTACTTTCGAAGTTTGTAAACCCACCGAACTATCTTCATTTTCCCCAGTTCCTTCGAGTAGATACACAATTTCTGGAGTGCTTAATCCATGCCTTATGTAGCAATCAATGGTTCTAAATGTCATTACTAAATTGTACATTTCCCTAACTTCAGCATCAAACTTTACCCTTTTCAATCCATTATCAAAGGTTTTACCCGGAATCAAATAATAGATGTCATCTATACTGGAATACTTACCACATTTTCCGGCTAACTCCTCTAAACAAAACCAGCACAACTCATCACCATCAACATCAAAGCACTTGCATTGTCCACCAACATATTGTAGTTGTCCTGTTTCATTCTTCCTAAACGTTCCTCCATGCCACATCTGTCACAATAGTACAATTAGCCATTTCTTCTTGATTCAAATACAACCTAAAAGTTTAGAATGAAACAGATTATAATAAACTTTAAATTGCCAAGTAACCCTAGTTTTGTATACATAGGCACATATACAAACAAAAAGGTTTAGAGGTAGTCGTAACCTGCTATATGGTCACAATCAAGCTCTTACAACCTTCGAATCACGCACTTGAATTTTTCCTCACGAGTTGGTGCACGAAGTGGAGGGAAGAAGACAACACTCGATTTCAGCAGATGGTAGTTCGTATCACTACAAAAAAATTACGGGATTGGCACGAAATTTGGCACGGACTTACCGATTTTTCGTGGCAAATAGCTCGTGCCAAAGTGTTTTTGTCACAGATTTGGCATATCCCTTCCAAAATCTCTGCCAAATCCCTGCCAATCTCTTGTTTTTTTTGTAGTGTATGTTTTTCGTCGAATGGCCTGAGAAGGAGTTCTACATTTGGAAGTGTTTTTTTATGTTGCTAACCGGTAACTGGTCGTTAGGACCATTAGTAGAAAAATCCCAATTAAGTTAAGACCACCCAGTAATAATTAGGATTATTAAAAGTGGACCGAGCATAGTTGGGATTATTAAATCCAATTTTTCCTAAATAAAATGGTAAAAGCAAATAAGTGGTCAACAATGCATAAGGCCCACAATCATTACTTTAATATTGAGAGAGGGTGGCACCGAATGTCTCTATTGAGACCCTGCAGAAGTCATTGTCCATTTTTTTCTTTTGACAACTCACCTAGACTAGACCAACATTTTTTTTTGCATTGGAGAGGAGATTTTAATTAAGAAGGTCTATTTGATGATGTGGAAGTGCAATGGACAATTGCATTGGAGTTGCCCTTAGTCTATGTATATCCACACTGAAAGGGACGGAGCTACCGTCAAAGCAAAGGGGGCCTATGTTATACGGCCCAAACCCGGAAAGTGGGTAAAAACCGGAATAAATTTCAAAATTAGCCACCAGGGTGGCAGGGTTATGTTTTACGACCCAAACCCATATATTAACCGCAAACTTACGTATAGTGCCACCAAACCAACAAGCTTCGTTGGTAAGTCATTTCATTAGGTTCTTTGAATGTATTTATTATATATGGAGTATGTTATTTTAATCAATACATTACAACCTTTACTACTTTGTAAATACTTAATAATCATAATATAAATATAACATCAAAAAAATACTTACTATTATTATTATAATCATTATTACAATTATTATTATTATTGTTGTTATTGTTATTGTTATTGTTATTGTTGTTATTGTTGTTGTTCTTGTTGTTGTTCTTCTTCTTCTTCTTGTTATTATTATTGTTATTGTTATTGTTATTATTGTTATTGTTATTATTGTTGTTATTATTGTTGTTATTATTATTATTATTATTATTATATTATAATAAAGAAAACAGAACGATATCACTAGAGAGATTGAGGAGCATGATTATATTTGAAGAAAATAGATCTAGAGTTAGAGGAATACCGCTAAACATTTCAATCAAGATATCACTACCGATGTAATGACATTGCTAGAAATCTGAACGATAGTGAGATTTTGTCATTCCCCTGGAATTCCATCTAATAAGACTCGGAGCAATATTGCACCACCGTCTCTCAGCACTCCAGCTTGAAGCACGGAATAAGCAAATTAGGCGGACAAGATTTGTCGTAAAACAAAGACAAAACACCTAAAATTCTAGGTGGGCCGCTGCTCATTCAAACGTAGGAAGCCCTAATTAGAAAACCCATCACCTTTTCTTTAGAGCAGAAAAGGTCAAATAATATTATTTCACGTAACACATACATGTCAATTGTCATTGGGCTTATCGATGTCAAACGTGTGTAGATTTGGTAGAAACCAGGCCGCCCTCGATGGTATATAATCGGCCCACTAATACATGCCTCTCAAAATAGAAAGCCCAAGAGCTGAGTAGCAATACTTGTACGTTCACCGGTTTAGCCCTACGGTCTACATCACTTTCCCTATTCTATTAAATTTAGTTAGATTTAATCAGGTTTGAAAAATATTGTCATGTTAAAAGGTTAGTACTGCCACAACATGACAATAATTAACTTATTTTGAGAATAAAAATATGATAGTCCTATTTTGAAATATGCAAACGTTTTTAGGCCTATTTACAGTAATTTCCCAATTATAAAATAAAAAATTATACGGTAAAGATTTGAGCACGAGAAAGATAATTAACTAGGATTAAAATTAATTACTCATAAATAAAAGTGATTAAGTTCTTGGGACAGTGAAAAAAGAAAGTTTTCAATGCTATAAGAGAGTCGGACTACTAAATTACACAGAGTAATTGTTCACATTTAGTATGGAGTACGTCGTATTTGATCCATAAGTTAAATTTCTAACTAATTTGTAAGTTAATGGGCAAATTATACCGTGCAACCGGCGCACCATGAGGATGGTGCGCCCGGTTGCAAAACGACGCAGCATGCCTGGTTTGACACATCAAACATGTAATGTTGTAAATATGATGAAATTGTACAGGATTAGGAGATATTTTGACACATTATTAATAGTTTATTAGAAATTGCTCTAAATAGGAGCAAAAACGTTTTGAAATTCCAAAATAGGAGTATCATATTTTTTATTCCCTGAATAAGAGTAATCTGCCAAGTTTGGAAAAAAATGTCATGTTTTAAAGTCTGATAATGTCAAACTTGGCAGAAAATTTACTCACATTCAAGAAATAAAAAACATGATACTACTATTTTGGAATTTCAATTTTTTTTTACTCCTATTTATGAAACTGTCTCTTAGTTTATTGCAATTATCATCTAGGCTTATATTTCTACTTATATCAAAACGACCTAAATTATTTTGTTGCAATGAGTCCTCATTTTTTGGACCGCACCTTGGTTACTTGAGGTTTAATACTCCCGAGTACTTCGGTTGGTATAAAACATTAAAGGGAATTTCACAAAAAAAAAACTTGCATTTATAAGTATCTATAGAACGAATCACCGGTATTTTATTCAATGTGAGATAATTAGATTGTCATCATTTCAATGGCATACTCGTCCAAACCTTTGCGTGTATGAATTGATCAATTAAAATGTATTTTCCGTCAAGGGGACACGTATGAGATCTCATTTAAGAGCATTTCCCTGCTCTTTAAATAAACGATTTTTTCATTACACACACATCATATTTATTCAATAAATTTTAAATGTTTGAATCTAAAATTCCATGAATAAGAAAACTGAGATGCTTGCTTTGGCTGCGAGTAATACTAAGGGTGGGTTCGGTTTTTGCGGTTCGGTTTTGACCTAAAACCAAATATAGAATCAAAGTAAAAAGTTCGGTTCGGTTTCGGTTCGGTTCTACACTCCAAAACTTGGAACCACGGTTTAATTTGTTTGGTTTGTTTCGATTCGGTTTCGGTTTTTTTCGGTTTTTTACCAAAAAATTATCATTTGATTTAAAATTGATATAATACTTTGAGTGATCAAACATATATTACATAAAGAATGCAAGCACACTACAACAAATAAAAAAAATGAAAATAAATAAATATGTCATGAATTATATGAGTATGCGTGAGAGATAAAAGTATATATTATTAATTTACATTGTTTGTGACTAGTTCAAAAAAAGTTCATGAGTATATACGTTATATGTGATATAGTTGAGATAAATATTTATTGTTTCATCAATACGAATTCTTTAAGTTAAATAAAAATAAAAGTTAATTAATACTAATAACAAGTAAAAACATATTATCAGTATAGCTACATTATTACGTGCAATGAATGTGTAAATGAATTCACAAACTAAACTAAACATAACAAACATTATTTCTCTAACATAAGAAAACAAAAAACTATTAATGATATTAGGATTAGTTAGGATTAATGCTTAACAATGGACAAATAAATTCTACTCCGTATATTTTAACTAGTTCGGTTTGTTCGGTTCGGTTCGGTTTTGAAGGGTAAAAACCAAAACCGAACCAAACAACTACGGTTCGGTTCGGTTTTTTGCATTCGGTTTCGGTTTGTTAGCGGTTCGGTTTTATTTGGCTACGGTTCGGTATAATTTGATTCGGTTTTCGGTTTTCGATTTTTCGGACCCAGCCTAAGTAATCCCATGGCAAGATCTCACTTCTTCAACAATCACTTTGGGCATTAAATCCATTAAGGAAAAAAACAGGCCTCTGGTAGGTATTCAGTGCAAATTGCGATTTCGGCTATTGCAGTAATTGCAATACTTAGAACCTGCTTGATAACATCGAAATTAGGTAATCGGTTGATTTTGCTGAAATATTCTACCTCAGTCCCTTTTTATTTAGTCATCTTTGACTTTTCCAGTCAAAGGTGATAAACTTTGATCCATTATTTTAACTAATATATTTATGAAAAACTTAATAAAATTATACTTTTATGATAGTATTTTTAACAAAGAATATTTTCATATAATTTTCAAATTATCAATGTTACCGTGTATAAATATATAATCGGTCAAAGTTAGTTGAACAACTTTGATTTGAAAAAAGGTGTTTGGTTAACTAAAAAGAGACGGAGGAAGTATAAAGTTCTGATTGAAGTGACTTGATCGGCGGATTATTCTCCTGAATTATGAAAAAAATATGCTTACAATTTTTTTTAATAAAATAAAGAAGAAATTATATGAAAATAACTAAAATGATACTCTACAATAACTTCAATCAATTCATCCAAAAAAGTTACTCCAACATTACATGTTTTGATTATTACCTAATTCATCGCGCAAAATAAAATTTTACGTGTTTGATGAAAAAATTGTGAATAAGGCCGATACTAAGCCGAAAAATATGTCATCAAAAAGACTCTAAATTATAGTGTAGCATATATTAAATCAGCCCAAATAAGGAAAATGATAATTTATTCAAGCCTTTATTATATCAAAGTTGTATTAACAATTATTCCCTCCGTCCCGCTAACAATGGAATAAGAGAGAGTGACACACAAATTAATAAAAAGTGGTTTATGTGGTCGATATTGAATTGATAAAGTAAGAATAAAGTAAGATTGATTTAGAGTCACACAAATTTTACCAAATTTGGTATGAGACAATCTTAGTGGGACGGACCGATAAGGTAAAATGGGACAATCATAGCGGGACAGAGGTAGTACTACCTAATATAATGTTGTATTTTTATTCTTTTAAGTGAATGTGTAAGGAGTTTGATAAAAAAATCCTGAACTATTTTTCGAAGCGTATGTATATATGTAAATATATAACCAACCAACATATCAGGACATGGCAATATTAAAAGTAAATAGTTAAGAGTATCCATACAAGGAGAAACATAACATGTTATATTGCTATCTGTAAACTTTTGGACTTACGTATCATATCCATACTAATGTTTTATTAGTGTATTAACAACTAGGGCCGATTCTCAGGGGGCAAGAGAGGCGACCGTCCTAGGCCCGAAAAAAATAGAAGATAAAATAGGTCCAATTTTTTTTATTCAATTTATTTATAACATATATAACAAATTTATATAATGACTTTAGAGTTTGTTTCTCTCAAATTTCACTCCATTTATTCATCAGTTTTTAAATTTCAATAAGCTATATATGAGTTCCTAATAGTAGTTATAGAGAACACCAAATTTACAATCTTCTTGCACGAGTTCTCTTGGTAACCAAACATTTTGTCTCTTTGAAAACCATCATTCTTTTGAGACTTCAAACTTTAAACTCTAATAAGTCCAGAAATGGACAGGACCGGTTCTTTTAACAACGAATGACAAAACAATTGTTACTTTGATGATGCAAATATATAAATAGATATTCTAAAAATATGAACAATAATGGCATTAAAAGAAATAGATAGAGAAGTGGCCGAAACTCAATTGTTTAATTTTGCACAATTTATAACCTTGTAGTTATTCTTACGAGGCAACTTTGGTGTAGAGGCCGGATGTGGTAGCTAGGGAGCCTAAATGTCAATGTACGGCTTGATTTTAAGTTTATCCACATCCCAATTTTTTTTACCACCTTTAGATAATGGGAGATCAAGACATAGTAAATTCCAAAAAATAGGGTCTGATGTTTAAAATTTCATAAAGAAATTCTTTTATTTGTGATTGGACAAAAATACATGTACATGGTTAGAGCAATGTTACTTTCAGATTGCCGGACCACCGCCGAACCACCAAAATAAAGTATCTTCTGAGATGATGTAGGTTGAACTTTGATGAAACAATAGTGGAATAAGAGTGAGATTTCAAACATTCAACCCAAATCTTTGCTTAGAGCCGTCAAACAGGTTAACCCGGTCCGACCCGACCCGCGGCGGGTTATGAGTTTCACGAGTAGGGGCGGGCCAACCCGTTTATTGTCGGGCCAGGATTTCTATGACCCTAACCCAACCCACCTAACCCACGGATTATTGTGGGCCAACCTGCGGGCCATAAATGTCAAAACAAAAAACAATTAAATATCTAAATTAAAATTCAAACACAATTGAAATAATAAGATACATCACTGCCAATGACATCATAACTTTGTAAGTCCATCTGAAAATTGTCCATGAGTTTAAAAGGCAACCTACCATTACAAATATTTAATGATTTAATTCAACTCAAAACAAAAACATGATAGCTTTGACCAAACAATAGTCTTTCGTTTCAAAGTTCAAACTATCCGCAGAATTCAACACTCCATTAAATCCATTTGGAGCTAAATTATCCATATCCATAGGCCACATAGAAGAGAGAACACAAAGAGTAGATAAATACAAAATACATTAGTATTAGAAGTGAGGAAGGAACTAGAAGTAAAGAAAGGGTAAAATAGAAGATATAATTGATTTTCACAATTTTTTGTTTGGCCATACGAATTCTCCCGGACCAAAGAAAAATGTCTCCTCATCTCCTTCAGTCTTTCGTGACCTTCCGTCTGTTCGGCTACGGTATATTTGTTATTTGTATATTACTTTGTCGATCAGTGCTATATAGAATTATAAATACATAGAATATATGGAGTATGTTTTTTGTCTCCAGCCCGCGGGTTGACCCGTAACCCGTACGAGTTGGCCCACTAAACTCGCAACCCGTTAGGGTTGACCCACCAAGCCCGCAAAATAATCGGGCCTGAAAATGACGACCCTAAGCCACTTATAAGTGGGTTGAGACGGGCCAACCCGCAGACTTCGGCCCGTTTTGACGGCTCTAGACACAACTACCATAATACTAGGGTAATCACAATATTAGGGGCATAAAAAATTAACACTTTAAAGTGGAAGAGTATGTACTCTTTATCACTTCAATATATTCTACTCCATATAATAAACATACTAGTATTAGGTTGTCCAATTTTTGTTATTCTTACCCCGATATACTCAATTTATTTATAAACAAAGAACAAAAAGGAGAGATATGGGAAAAAGGAAAAATAAATAAATGAAGGTAAAAAAGAAGGATAAGGAAATGAATAGGAGCATTCCTCACAGAGGACCCAACCATTTAATATCATGGGCTAAATTTACAAAGGCAGAACAAGAATGCTCAAGTCAGACCAATAATGAGATCTCTATAAGAGTTCAGATATTGCAGAGCCACCTTTAATTTTCAATTATTCGAAGAAGAAAAAAACCCAAAGCTTTCTCTATCAAACACATGGACCACTGTCCCCTACTCCCCTCCCATCTCCTTCCAGCCCTTCTCATCTTCTCCATCCATCCTCTTATTATCCTCTCAATCCTGCTTCTACCTAGCTAGCATATACCTAATAATCTTCTTTATTGCATCACATTATTACCCTCATCAAAAACACCTTTCATTCCACTTGTTTTTTCCTCCAAAATCTATCTTATGGTTTTCATACAATACATGAAAACCAAATTAAACCCTTTTTGTGCTTATATATATAACTAATTACTGCCTTATTATAGACAAGTACATTGAGTTAACTACGGTTTAATTCGATCATTAAGATGAGTCAGTGTGTTCCCAGTTGGGAGGTTGAAGATACTAACCAGCCTCCTCTCGACATCAATGCGCTTGCTGATTCTTTATGCACCGACGTTCCCTCGTACGTTATTATACGTAAATGTGTTTAAGGTTGCTTGAGATGGCTCAATCATGATCGTTAATGGTAACAGTTTTTATTTTGTTATGTGTGTTGTAGATTGGACTACGAAGTGGCGGAGTTGACGTGGGAAAATGGGCAGTTAGCTATGCATGGGTTAGGCGCTCCGCGGCCGAGCAAATTACTGGCCGCAGAGGTAAAGGACACGTGGGAAAAGCCACGTGCCGGTGGCACGCTGGAGGCCATTGTCAGCCAAGCCACCAGCATGCCACGCCGAAAGCGTGTTGGCATTGATGGAGTCGGAGGATTCATCGGCGAGGAGCTCGTCCCGTGGTTCGACCCACACACCCAACAACTCGTCGCCGGCTCTCCCAAGAAAAGCGCCGGAGCCTCCGCCGCCACCATTACAATGGACGCCATGGTACCTTGCGCCAAAGCTACGTCGACGCCCGGTGCCAGGTGGACCGGGCACGACCGAGAGCCATCCGCCGCCGCCCTCTTGCCGGGGATCCCAGGATTCTCCGGTCACGTCGGATCGTGCAGCGGCGTGCTCCCCTCACGTGTAGGCGGCGGCGGTGCCGCTCAGGATTGGAGCAACAACAAGGGTGAGATGAGTGTGAGCGGGAGCGCGACATACATGAGGGATAGCCGGCAGGTGACCATGACGGATACCGGCGGCGATAGAGATCTTTGCACGGAGGGGTTCACTTCCACGTCCATGCCGTCGCAGGGAAACACCAGCTCAGAGAAACAGTGCACTATGAAGTCAAATGACGATAATGATAATTCAGTTTGTCACAGCAGATCTCAGGCATGCAACTTCTTTAATACTAGTAGTATATTTAAATAGTTTCCTTTTACTACTTTTAGCAAAAATGATTCGTTTTTTTTATTTGATTAATTTTTATAAATATAAATGTTCATGTGAATACAGAGGGATATTGACATGGATGATAAAAAAGTAAATGGAAAATCCTCAGTTTCAACAAAAAGGAGCAGGGCTGCTGCTACTCACAACCAGTCTGAAAGGGTGGGTAACTATCATTCAATTATTATTTTATGTGTTCACTTTTCAGAATATATATTCCAAAAGTACGGCAAAGTGCAAAAGCTTATTACAACTTTACAGAAGTGTTGAAATTGGCCAGATGTCTATGTTGTTTTTATTTGTTACTTCATTTACCTTAATTGGGTATGATCATATGAATTAGGGTTAACTTTTTGGTAATCTTATTTGATATGGTGTTTCATCGGTTGGGATCGTATAGCATTAATTAGGAAGCATTAGGATTAACTTTTTGGTAATTTTATTTGAAATAGTGTTTCGTCAATCGCAAGAGAACTAAATATGAGCAAGTAATGAACCTCTAAACTTCAACTCATACGGGATGGGTGGACGTAGCTCAACTAGTATCAAGGAAGTGCCACAAGGGTTAGGTCTCGAGTTCGAATTCCGACAATTGCGATGAGAGGTTATTATGCTAAAAATGCATATGGTCTCAGTAAGTATCGGGGACGGAGTCTCACTCTCTATCTGTCAGATTGTGATTATAATCCAATTTACATCCTCTCAACCTACTGTCCGGTCGTTGTTGGGGGCTCTCAGGGATGGAGTGTCATTTTTTTTTTCAACTCATACGTATATTCAATATTAATTGGGATGGTAGAGCATTCAAAGATGATAAGATATTAATATTGAAAACCTATATGAGTTGAAGTTTAGAGGTTCATTACTTGCTTATATTAAGTTTTCTTGAAATTGGTTACGTTTAAAACTCTTTTCGTTTAGTCCATCACATTCCAGATTCAAAGATCAACCCTTTTATATATATGGATCCTTTTCGTTAGACATTTTAAAAGTAATGATATCTTAACATGAAAATACTTTTCACTATGATATTATTTACTCATATTGAGATAGTGCTCTTATTTAGACAAGTTATCTTGATTCTACTTCTCATCAGGCAATGACTTCTAGGGTTACATTCTCAATGTCTCATGTTCTTAACAGTAAAAATCAGGACACCATTTTAGGAATTTTTATTTTCCTAGCAAATAAAGGTTGTAAGTTAAAAATAATTAACTCGACAAAGATCCCATTTCACATGCTTCAATAGTCATTCAAATACGAATTTCATATAATATGTACTCCCTCCGTCCCATTAGAAGGTTCACATTTTCCTTTTTTGGACGTCCCGTTAGAAGGTTCTCATTTCCATTTTTGGAAACAATTAACAATCTTAAGTGACAAATAAATGATTAAATATTAAAAATAATACATTTATAACATCATAGTTATCAATACTAACTACATTATAATATATACCTATTAAAATTATATCTCAAAATATACTCGAAGTAGTTTATTTAGTTATTGTCTAAATAACCGTACCGTTTTGCTATGGGAACCTTCCAACTTGACGAAAGTAGTACATATTATTAGTTCAGGTAGCCTAGTTGAGGAAAAGCAACACAAATTTCAACACTTGATGATTGATAAAAAAAGTAAACCCTAGAAGTCGTAGATGGAGAATATTTACTAGGCTAGGTGAGTCTATATTAAATGCGTTCAAATCCAAGTCACATGACATGTCAATATTAGGCGTGGCAAGTTGACATCTTGCATAGTATGAGTAATGTTTTCACTATTTTCACCTGTTACGGTTTTAGGGAACAAAATGACTCCTATAATTTCAAAGTGCCTCGGATCAATAATACCTTCAGCACAACTGTTTAATTTGCCTTCATATCTTAGCTAAGTTTGGTCGAAAAAAGTCAAATCAAATTAATAACCTTCACTAAATTGTAGCACTTCAAAAACTATTTAAACCATCAAAATAACCAGTATAGAGTTTTTATTTGAAGAATTATGATGTTATACTCCGTATTTCTTTTTAATGTGCACTACTTTCAAACATAAAAATGGTTTAACCTAAATGTGAAACGTTTAATTTTTAGTACTAACCTATTGGTTGATGAATAAATACGTAAGTTGTATTTATGAATTTGTTCAGTTCGATCGACTAATTATATGAATGTACGCATGCATGCATGGTATATAATTACAGAAAAGAAGAGACAAAATTAATCAACGGATGAAGACATTGCAGAAGTTGGTTCCAAATTCGAGTAAGGTATATATACATGTGTATTTAGTTTTTGTTTTTCAATTGATTTATTGATTATGCTCCAAATGCGCCATAACCCCAATTTTATTTGGGGTTTTTTGGACATGTTTTATTTGAGTTGATATTGGTATTTGTCATTTTTGTTCATATTTAATTGCACGTTGCATCATCTTTCCAAAATAAATAAATAAATTGCATGTTGCATCTATATGTTTGAATGTTAAAAATCTAATTGCAAAAAAAAATGTTAAAAATCTTTCCATCTATATTTAATACTCAATGGGTGTATTTCACATTTAAGAATATGTGAATTCATAAACATAATTAATATATGATATTTGACGGTAACAAGAGTAATTAATAATACTCGCGTGGTAATTAATGAATAATATGCTGTCCGTCATAATCTAAGTCTTTTATTAGCACGTACCCTACTGCCACTTGTTGCACAGATACTAATGTACTTTAATGCTTGAATATAAACATTGACACGACAATTTTTGAATTTTCATAATTGCTATCAAACTTATCATTGAATAATTGGCTGATGTTACTTGCATGTACTAATACCTCCATGAATTATTTGGCAATCTTTGATGTGACAAAAATATAAAAATCAGAAATGTATAGTTTCATTACTTCATAGATAATATAGATGAAGAAAATAGGTTATATAGCATAAAATGTATAAGTTCATTTTTTCAAATTAAGAACTCAATAATGTATTTTTAATTGAACTCAAATTAGAAAATTACAAGTCTACAAAACTTTTGGAAGCAGGCGAGATAATAATGTATTTCAACGATCTAGTGAATGATTCTTTTTTAATTGGATTCTTCTTGACAGGAATAACAGTCTATCACCTTATCATGCTAGCTAGATATTGTACACCTGGATCAATAAAAGTATACTCCGTATTAAATACTTATAACTAATTGAAGTTTTAAAGTTGTGCTTAATTCCAATATATTCAAAAAAAAGTTGTGCTTCCAAAAATACGGAAAAGGCTTTTTCAATAAATAAAAGTACACACAAAATGTTGATATTCGTGATTTCTAAAATATGACTAATTAGATTTTATTCTTGAAATAATGGTATCTTGCATATACGGGTGTTTTATTTTAGTTATATATAGATAATCTTTTCAATAATATATGTACGGGTGTTACCAAATCCAAGAAAAAACAGCAAGTAAATTTCCTTCAAATATGAAAACATTTATGGAATTGGATTGGAAGCTCCCAAGAAACACCCTCCACAAATAAATAAAAACATGTTTGTTTTTCCATTTGTGGCGTTAAATAAAAGTCATATATGGTCCATGGTACGTAGTCCATCATTATCTAGACATGAAATGAAAAGATAGATGCAATTGGAACCTAACAAAAATCATGGCAGGTGGGCTTAGGAAACCTTTAATTACGGGAAAAAACAAGTGCAACTGCACATAATACATCACACATATATATATATATATATATATATATGGGATGTTCAAATAAAAAGAGGTCTTAACGTGCAAAGTGAAAAGTTTACACTTTTTCACGTTTCGCCTGCATTTTTTCTTGATTTTGTTGCACTTTTTCGCGATAGCTCAAAAAATTGGTTTATTTACAAAACTGTCGCCGTCAAAATCAAAATGACCAAAAAGTGCAACGCAAACAACAAAAAGTGCAAGCGAAACATTAAAAAGTGAAAACTTTGCACTTTACACGGGAAGACCACTTTTCATTGGAACTCTTTCCTATATATATATATATATATATATATATATATATATATATATATATATATATATATATATATATATATATATATAGACGGTAATAATTTAGGTATATATGGGTCCAAGAAAACTGAAAGGACGCCTCACCTGTGAAGTCGGGAAAAAACTAATTATATAATCATCTCGTAATACGGATCGAGTATATATATCATATCTGTCCCAATTCCTTTATCTTCTTTTCAAGGACACAATTTGATAGGTACTAAAGTTGACAAAACAATAATTGTATGTTTCTCCCTATTAATATTGATAAGAAGTAACTAAAATAAAATATCTAGTTGAGCAGATGGTTTAAAACTCAGTTATAAGATAAATGATTTATCAATGTAACATAGAGGTTTTCATTGAAAGATTACTCAAACAAGATTTATAGAAAACAATGTTATTAAATTTATTATGTCTACAATGTGAAGTTGAATTTGATCATCTTTATCTATCATATTTATTTTAGTAGTATACAAAGTAAAAGTCAATATTCAATTCCTAAATATTGAACACTAAGAAATATTTTTGTACTTTCAGCCAAATACTTCAATATCTCTGATTCCTAAAAGAATATAAATAATTTCAAGTAAATCCAAACACACTCTCAATTTTGTGGCACTATAAGTAAAACTTTATTGTCACTATGATTATAGCCACTAAATTTAATAATTTACTCAACTTATATTAAAAGTCATATTCTGTCCAACATCTTAGTTTTTGTCACATATAGTATATATTTATAAATTACATTTTTATCCGCAAAATTTATTAGAGTATACTATGTATATTTTGTGATTATATCATTAAAATTTCAATAGTGAATGATATTAAAAAAAATGAAGAGCAAAATGCTCGTCCACAAACGTTACGTTAAGGCCGGAGTGAAGAGCAGACAAGTCGGCAGAAGGTCGTCGGTTGTGTAGACAACTTTTCCCACCCACTTAAATCCTCCGCAAAGGTAGGACCCTTCAAATAAGGTCCTTTAAGAAAAAAGACCTCCTTTTCTCTCGTTAATCGTGGCCGTTGATTCGCGAGATCAACGGTCGTCATCTTGAGTCTTGACCACTCTGACCATCTGCATAAATAGACTGAAGAACACGTACAAATGCACAACTCATTAAGATAAGAAATTTGGTCCATTGCATTTATCCATCCTTCAATCCTTGCTAGCTACCTAATAAGCTCGTATATCTGTCCCCGTGCATGGTGGTAGACAAAGACACATACACATAACACATATATAAACACCTATATATATATATATATATATATATATATATATATATATATATATATATATATTTATATATATATATATATATATATATATATATGATAGTACTAATATACTACCTTCGTTCGTATTATAACTTTCAAATAGGTTTGACACACAATTTAAGAAGTGAGTATTCTGTGTTGGAGAATTGTGTAGAGAAGAGAGAAATGTGTAAGAAATATTGTGAACCACAAATTCTTTACAAAAAAAGGAATGTGAAAGTTTTAATTGGAATGAACGAAAAGGAAAGTTGAAAGTTATAATAGGAACGAAGGAGTACTAAAAATAATACTACCTCCGTTCCTATTTTATCTTCCAACCCACTTTGGCACATAATTTAAGAAAATTGGGTATTATGTGGTGGAGAGTTGTGCAGAGGAGAGAGAAATGTGTAGGAAATGTTGTGAACCACAAATTCTTTACCAAAAAGGGAAAGTGGAAATTTAATTGGAACAGATAAAAAAGGAAAGTTGAAAGTTTATTTAAGAAGGAAGAGAGTAATAGCAATGACTTGAAATGATTAGTTTGTACCATCTTATCTCGTCTACCTCTCATCTTGTTCTCAGCTCGTACAAGCTACGTGGAGCTTCTATATTACGAGTACATAACTCTAACTCATATTTACTCCTAAAAATAAATTACATTTTCATTATCAAGTTTCAATAGGGAAAATTTAATTCCATTATTAATTAAATGTAAAGCTCAAATCAATTTCATGCAAATGAAGTGGTTCTCACGTCCCATTGAATTTTGTCAACGTTATTATATTTGTGCCTGAAACTTTGTTTCTTTTCCTTTCAAGTAAATCACCTCTATACATATCTCAACCACACATTTTTCATTTTTCTTATTTCACGCAAAAGTCTAACTTTGACTATTAATGTCCAATGGGGGCGAAAGGTATTACGGAGTATATGATTAGTTTAATTGGTCAACTTATGTACCTCGTCTATACTAAATGTTGACACCACTTCTAATCTGTTTGGATTAAGATAGTAGATACTTTTTAAAAGCGTTTGGTAATGTCCACTAAAAGTAAAATATATTATTATGTCTAAAGTCATTACTTTTTGGTTGATTAATCAATGAGCAAATTTACATGTTCGAGGTTAAAAAGTTTGTCCCATATACATTATTATCTTTAGAGACAAAATTCTAGAGATAAGAAAAATAGATTCTTTAAACTAGCTAACTAAGTGTCTGGTCGTGAAGATAAGATTTAATGTTTTGTAACTAATCTTTCCATGTGAGTTAACTTTTGAAAGAAACTTTAGATCTTAAATTTAACACCTAGCTAGCTAGCATATGGAGATATAGCTATCTACCTACTAACGTCTAATCTTAATCTCGTGTAGTTGATATATACCGAGCAGATACTGTGTACTCCATCCATATCATTGGTTGGATGGGAGAGAATTGAAGAATATTCAAATGTTATTATGGCATGCATGATCTCATGTTTTTTAGCTTTAATTTGGTGTTTACAGCTTGGGTGGGACTTGTTGGGTGTATTAGTCAGCCACCTATACATCCCATTAAATAATTCATTAGCCATTTAATTATAATAATGATTTTAATTATTAATTAATCCGTATTAATTAGTAATAACGTACAATAATATGTTCATGCAGACGGATAAGGCGTCCATGCTTGATGAAGTGATAGAATACCTAAAGCAGCTCCAATCACACATCCAGATGATGAGTAGGATGAACATGTCGCCGGCCGCCATGATGTTCCCGTTGGCGATGCAACAACAGCTGCAGATGTCCATGATGGCGCCGGCTGCGGCGGCGATGGGAATGAACATGGGCATGGGGATGGCGGGAATGATGGACATGAACAACGTCGCCGGCCGCTCCAACATGGCCGCCGCCATGCCCCAGCTCCTCAACCCTGCAACGGCTGCTGGCGCAGCTGCTGCTTTCCTGCCGATGGCCGCCGCTTGGTGGGAGAACTCTGCCGCGGACCGCATGCCGGCCGCTCCCGCAACCGTAATGCCGGACCCTTTAGCCGCGGCATTTCTTGCTTGCCAATCACAGGTAACTAATAGTCATATTTGTATAAATAAGTTTTACTTTAGAAATATTTTTGTAAATCCCCTAACTTATAATTGATTCTATTTGAGAGAGTATGATCAAAATACATACTATCGTATAAAACATCATCAATTAAGAATAAAAAACTATCTAGTCATATATTAGGTATAACCACATCTTTTAATCATACTTTTAATAATTTTCTCTAATTACTTATCTCACATTTATTATCAATATACGTAGTATAAATTTATGAGTAAAACATGGAAAGTTCACGAATTAATTAGGGGTTCAAATATTTTGAAATTTCAAAATATGAGTAGTATATATTTAATCCTTAAATAGGAGTATTTGAAAAATATTGTAACGTTTAAGCATTGATAATGCCAAAACATGGTGACAATTACTCATATTTGATGAATAAAAATATAATAACGTTATTCTGGAATTGACAAACACAGGAGCGGACCCAGGAAATCCATTTTGGGGGGGGGGGGGGTGAAAATATTTTTGGGGGTGGTTCAAAATACTTTTTGGAAGAGCAAATATTATTTTTCGTATATATATACATTAAAAAAAAATTGTTGGGGGGGCGGTAGCCCCCCTGGGTCTCTAGTACGATCCGCCCCTGGACAAACATTTACATAAATGTATAACAACATTCTTGTATGTTTTACTCTTATATTTTGAGCAATTTCTAGTTCAATACTTAGTAGTACCTCCGTGTATACTAACATGAGTAACTATTTTTGAATTGACAGCCAATGCAAGCGGATGCTTATAGTAGGATGGCAGCTATGTACCAACAGTTTCAACAAGCTTCTGGTGGTCAAAAGAACTGAGCTTTTTTGTTATTTATTTTTAAATTTGAACCTTTTCTACTTCTTGACTTGGTTAAGTTGAAGATGATCGGTGTGATTAAAGGATGCAATATGTGAATTGTGTAGGCTGGAAATCTCTGTATGTATGTGCATCTGCTCTAACCACTTCATCAAGATTCTTTCATTCAATATATATTGAGTTCAATAATGCATATATTTTAATTAAACAAAGAGGTTGTATATAAATATTTTGTGATATAACTAATACATACGGAGTAATACTTTAATTTATGTACCAATAAATTAATTACATCAGATCGATTATATTTGGATGTCCTCCTATAATTGTTCTATTTTTCCATTTTTGGATGGGATGTCCTCCTATTATTGTCTCATATTATATTTGATAATATTTGTGTGGTTCTAATTCATTCTTACTTTATTCCCACTTTACCAACTCATTATCCACCACATAATTTTACTTTTTTTTAAAACCACACTACTCCCTTCTGTCGCATTGTTAGAGGAACGAATGTAGTACTACGCACTAGTATTGTACTTGTGCGGTGTGCAGATACAAATTTTCTTTTATGATAAGTTTGATTAGACTCATTAGAGATAACTTTTTTTCATTACTAGTGTGTAAAAAATAGTAGGGATACTAAATCGTATGCGTAGTCATAACCAGTTGTCTAATTGTGACTGGTAAGATCTAATGTGCTTAAGTCCCATTTGTTATAATGTAGTATGATGTGATCTGGTCTAATCTGATTATCAGACTGAGATGAGTTTAATAAATACGTACATCTCAAAGGAGTATGTACGTACAGAAGTTTGGAAATCGGTTGGATATATATATGCCTTCAGGATTTTTAATACTACCGAAATTGGATGAATCATTTGAAGTGGTTGAAATTGGACTACTGTGAAAAATCATACTTCGTACTACACATTAAAAATATATGTTATCAATGAAAAAATATGAAAAATAGTTAACCTATAAAGACACTTTATCTAATACATGTAAAAACAGAATCGAGGCTGAGGTATTGGGTGTGTTTGGATAATGGCGGATCAACTATATTTTAGCGGGTTTGACCATTTTCAGCAATTTTATCTTAGTCAAACCTCTAACTTAGGTGTTTTGTTAATGGCAGATTGCACTGGCTTTTTTATCAAAACCGCCAAAACTCAAATCGATACATGGAGCAGCGTTTGAGACTGACGATTTCCACTTTATTAATCAAAAGACTAATTTATCCTCTTTTTAAATAACTTACGGCATGAAACCACCATTAATGGAGGTTCAAAGTTGAACACACCATATAAACACCACCGATCTATTGTAAAGATGATGGAGAATTGATCTATTGTAAAGATGATGGAGAATTAAAAGACAAAATACTTAAGTGCTATAAAAGGGAGCATCAATTGAGATCAAACACTAGATAATGAAATATGAGGAAAAAAATAATGCAAAGGAAAAGAAGGATCTCTTACTAAACTAATGGATTCTGTTAGTTTCTACCAATGTTAGGAGGTCCGCAATTTCATGCTTGCAATTTCTTGATGTTTTATTTGTTACTGAAGATGTTTAATTAACATACACGATCATAAATACTTTTATATTTAATTTACTCATTTTCGAGTTTATTAACATACAAATAACATGGATTTATATATAGTATTGCATAGTACACAGTATTAATATGGACTTTATACGTATAGGCTATCCATATACATAAAAATGAACTAATGTCCTTTTTTATCTTTTTATATATTAACCGCTAAAATAAAACAGCCGAGTTATCAAACATTTTCCTGAAATCCGCCAAACTAATCCACCGGTCAAATCCGCTAACTCAATCCGCTATTTACAACCCGCTAACATAATCCGCTAACCGCCAACCGCTAACCGCCGATTGCCAAACAAGGCCATTATGTGAGACTTAGGTGGAAAAATGATTGTGGATGTGTCCTTTCTGCTTCAAGCTTCATCATCTCTCGAGGCTGAGCTTCTGGCTATTGGTCAAGCAATGAGATGGGCGGGTTATGCAGGCTTCGACAACTTCTTGGTGGAATCTGATTGTTCTCTGGCTTTGAGTATTTGAGGTAGAGAATCGAGGAAATGGAGGGATACTATTCAGAAAACCACACAGATTGTGAAGAGAAAAGGTATTATGTTTGGACATGCTATGCGAGAGGCTAATTGGGTTGCACATTATTTAGCAGAGGCCTTGACCACACAATTTAATATTTTCCATTGTTCGAAACAGTTTCCTGGGTTTGCTAAACGAGCTTATATGATGGATTATTTTGGTATACCTTCATTACGATTTTAATTTAAATTGTTTTGTATTGTTCTTCTCGAGAGGTATTGGTCTTGTCCCCCTCTCATTGTAATCTTTATTATTTTAATAAATCTAGAAAATATTCCCTCACATTTACTCCACTGGTTTTGGTGGTTTACCTGCCGGATTCTATATATATATATATATATATGTGTGTGTGTGTGTGTGTGTTTGTGTGTGTGTGTGCGTGTGTACATATACACACACACACACACATACATATAGCTAAAAGATCAAATACAAACCATGCTTAAAATACTAACCTACAAACTCAATAATATGCAACACTTTGAACATTAATATGCAATACAAATAATGTAAAGATGCACACTGTGAACTTCAATATGCAATATAACTAATATGCAACACTTTGAACTTCAATATGCAATACAAATAATATGCAACACTTTGAACTTCAATATTCAATACAAATAATGTAAGGATGCACAGTTTGTGACAGTTTGTAGGTTAGCATGGGAGGACTAATTTGTATGTGATCCCACTCCTATACACACATACACATACACATACACATACACACACACACACACACACACACACACACACACACACATATATATATATATATATATATATATATATTTGTGTGTGTGTGTGTTTTGGTTCAAATAAGAACATGATCTTAGGAGAGAAATGAGAATGAATCTGGATCGTTAGATTTGCTTTAAATGAAATTCAATGTGCATCACATGAAACTGTAATATGCATTAGGTGAAATTGAAATGTGTATTAGGTGAAACTGGAATGTGCAGAATAAAATGTACGATGTGATGTTATTTTTGTACCTTTTATTTCACACATTTCTGTTTCATCTAATGCACACTTGAGTTTAAATTTTTATTCTCCACATTTCAATATCATCTAATGCACATTTCAATTTCACTGAATGCACAACTCAGTTTCACATGAAACAATCCAACGGTCCAGATTCATTCTCATTTCTCTCCTGGGAGTCTGTTCTTATCGGAACCGCTCCCCCCCCTCCACACACACACACACACACACACACACACACACACACACACACACACACACACATATATATATATATATATATATATATGTGTGTGTGTGTGTGTGTGTGTGTGTGTGTGTGTGTGTGTCGCGATTCTAATGAGAATGATGCTTAACGTGAGAACGTGAGAACACTCACGTTTAAATCAATGTGGTGCACAAATGAGCTCTTCTGTTGCACATTTTCAATTTTCTTGAATTAAGCCTCTGTTAAATAAACACAGTGACATTTTGGTAACTATTGTGAAAAAGCGAAAAAGTGCAATATACAAACTTCATTGTGCAACACATTAGAGAAAATGTGGTGTTCTCACGTTCTCGCGTTAAGCACTGTTCTCATTTGATCTTTATTCTCTTTGTTGGATATTTGGTTTTGTTGATGACTAACCATGGATGAACCAAGCATAGAACTATCCTAAGGTCCAAGCAAGCATTTGTATTGTTAATGACTTACCATGCAGATGGACCAACAGAAAGAACTACATTAGTTCTATCAGGAACGAAAGTTAGAACTATACTTAGTTTTGCTTTATGGATTGACGTACAAATGATTTTATATTTACTTGCATGACAATACCTTACTTATGTGCCTGGACTGTTATCATATTATGCAAGCTCTAAAATATACTTAGCAATATTTGAATAACCTTCCATATATGACTAGGCACCCACTTTAGAAAGTTGACCTCCATTATGGTTAATACACTTTATGGAAATAATCATTACCTTTGTTAAATAAATATTCTACCTTTGTAATTACTAGCCAAAGCTCATTTGAACTTGGTAAGAAAATAATTCTCAAGCCACATGATTTTGAAAAGTATCTTGGCTTGATTAATGAGATTAGTAGTAATACATTTATCTATGGCAAGTGAATATTTTATTGCCCATGATTTTGGTTGACCGTAGCTCTAAATGAATATTCTATTACCATATAAGAATGGTATGTTGCTAGATAAATAAATATGGATCGTTGCATGTTTATATTTGACAAGCTAATATGATGGTCCCAGATAGAGGTAAAAGTCTAGAGAGGGGGGGGGGGGGGGGGGTGAATAGATTTTTAAAGCTTTTTCGACTTTAAAGTTTTTCCCAATTAGATAGAGTGAACTATAACCTTTTGAGAGATTATAGTTGCACAGCGGAAGTCTTGACCTCTATATAAACAGTGAGAATAACTCTCTTGTAGATGGACTTGTGAATAAAGTAATCAGCAAATAAAAGTGTTCAGGAAAGATACTTAGCTGAGTCACAGAATAGATTGTTTGAGAGCAGTTGGTTGAGCAGTGGGGTCGGTAGTAGAGAACTGATCCGCTTTCTGTTGGCTTCCGGATCAGAGAACCTTAGAGGGTTTCTGTTGGATCAGAAGACCTGAGGGTTTCTGGTGGCTTCCAGAAAGAAGACCATGAGGTCTTATGTTGGCTTCAGATCAGAACACCTCGAGGTGTTCTGGTAGGAGTATTCTAGTCGCGCACCAGAACTGCTCCACAATTTAAGAGGTATGGTTATGCAAGCTTCTGGGATGATACAAGTTAAGACTAATGTGGGTTTGGGATATCTCTGAAAGATGAATTTGGATGAGCAGTTGTCTTAGCAGTTGGCTTAGCAGTTGGCTTAAGTGAGGCAACTGCTGAGTATTAAACTTCTTCTTTCAGGAATTGTTTCTGGTAAAATAAAGTGCTAGGATTTGGCAATCTTTGAGTGAGTGTTTGGTGTGTGCTTTGTTGATGGAAATGAAAATTCAACACACGATATATCCTGGTTTATAGGTGGTGTAATCCTCTTACATCCAGTCCCACCCTATTTCAGATGAATTTCCACTAAAGTATTCAGCCCAATACACTTAGTGCCAATCTAGCCTTTTCACACAAAAGCGACCTAGATTGAAGGTGTTTCACAAGGAGTACACACCACTCCAAGTTACTCAATCCTTTAGGTTTTTCTCGATTAATCGAGTGGGGATTAAAAGGTACTCTGTCCTATCTGACCACACTT